TTATATTTATTATATGATTATTATTATACTTAAAATTAGTAAAAAATTTTATTTTATCAGAAATTATTTTTATTAGTTATTAAATTTATTATTCCAATATAAAAATAAAAAACAATTAAATATTTGCAATATATATATTAAATAATAATAAAAATAATAATAAATGTTCGCAAATTTATATAAATAAGATAAAAAAATAATTAAAAAAGGCAAAATAAGAAAATTGTTTGTATATATATATATATATATATATATAAAAAAAAAAAAAAAAAAAAGATTACAAATATATATATAAAAAAAGAGAAAAAATTAATTGCAAATATATAAAAAGAAAAAAAAAAGAAAAAATATTTGTAAATAAATTTATATATATATATAAAAAAAAGGAAAAGAAAATTGTTTGTAAATATATATAAAAAAATAAAAAATAAAAGAGTTCATAAATATATAAAAAAGAAAAAAAAATTGTTCACAAATTTATAAAAAAAAAGGAAAAAAAAGAAAATTGCTTGCAAATAAATAAAAAAAGTTTTATTATAAAATAAAAATAAAAAATAAAAAATAAATTTACAAAATAATAACATTATTATTAATTATGTTACTAATGGTGGTGGTGGTGATGGTGGTAGTATTGTTGTTGTTGTTGTTATTGTTATCATTATCGTCATCGTCATCGATTACTACTATGTCTGAGAAGAGCGGGCTAGCTTCTCTCTCAGTTCTACGTTGTCTTTCTAAAAAATTTATTATAATTGAATAACTTTTAATTAAATACTCCTTCACATTAAAACAAAAGGATTTAAAATTATTGTTAAACAAATTTCTTACCTTCTCAGCCATCCCGTTATTCTTGAATCCTTGTGGTTCTTCATTATTTATGATCATGAATATCGTCTAAATAGTATTAAAATACAAATTAAATGAATATTTAAGTACAAACCCAATCAGAAATAGTATCAAAATATAAATTTAACTAAAATTATTCTCATTTACCTGGAAACTCCCAGAAGCGCGTATCAAATTCGTCAAAATATTTTCAGCCAACCCAACTTCGCCTACCTTTGGGATTGTTAGCCCGTTTTAATCGCATATCTTAAGAAAGAGAGAAAAGAGAGAAAAAAGAAAAATTTATTAAAATTACTTATATTTAATATATGTTTTCTTTTGTTTTTATATTATTTTGCTGGGTGCTGTTCAAAATCTCGAAATCCAAAATCTCGAAAGGTCAAAATCTCGAATTCCAAAATCTTAAATTTCAAAATCCCGAATGGTATAAAATCTTGAAGTCTAAATTATCGAATGATATAAAATCCTTTAAATATATACATACTACAGCATATAAGTGTATATCACATGATTTTATTAAAAAATTTTTTATTATATCGCAATTCATTTTACTTATACAATAATGAAAAAAAATGTTTAATCAGAGGGAATTGTACTTATGCAAATAAATAAAAAATTTTTAGCAGGATAATATTCAAATACCTGAGTATCACTTGTGAATTACCCATGATATAATTCAAAGTAATTTCCCGCGAATGACCCATGACCTACTAACTCAAAATAATTTTCATGAATCAATCGTATTTATTATTTTTAAACATGATATAAAGTACTATTATTACAAATTTGTCATATTAAACGTAACTATAACATAAGATTATGCGCAATCCCACAAAGAAATTCCATAATAGAACAGTTTTCTTTATTATTAAGTAGCATTACTATTCTTTTTTTTTTTAATTAAGGCTTTTTTTTTGTAGGACGTGTTCACCACGAATGATACGTTCAACTTGAAAGTCTACCTTTTGCTGTTCCTTCTGCAACTCTTTAATCATCTTATAAACACCTAAATGACTTTGACCAACCAAAATTTCCAAACGCCGATGCTAAGCTTCGACATTATTCTGAGTTCGTGGAATTTCCCTTTCATTTAAATTATATACTGATTACAATTGTGGTGGAAATAAAGGAGCTGAACGAATAACATTGTCATTTCAAAGATGTCGACGTATCCTTTCATGAACATAATTATCTTCGAATCATTGAATAACTTCATTTGCTTCTGAAGAAATTTCAAGCTTTAATATATCAAATGCCTCTGGAATTTCTGTGGTGGTAAAAATGCTAGCGCAAATAAATGTCGTAATATTAAACTAAATTGCTCATCATCACCATATCTAGTAGCAAGTCCACATGATTGAATTTTTCACCATTCTGACTGACATAAATGAAAAAAACATCCCTTATTTTCAACATTAGAAAATACATGACGTGATGCATTAATTGATGCTAACTCAAAATCGGTTAGAATGATTGAAGGTTGCAAGGTAATATCATTTTCTACTACAAAGTCAATTAATTCTTCGAACAAACATCTATAAATTTCCTCTGATTTGCTTATTACTAATGAATAAATAAGTGGAAGAATTCTTGAATTTTCACCATCAACAGATGCATGAATGGTATATAATTGACAAAATACCATTGGAACAGTCTTAAAAGTGCCATCCATTAACCAAAATGAAGCCTGAGACAAGCGTCGAATATTTGCTTGTGTAGTAAATAGTAAAATCCGATCATTACCAATTTCACAATCCCTTATTAAAAATGTATCACCATTTAAAGTTGAACAAAGTGAATCTGGAATATTAATTTCTTCAATGGTTTGTGGTTAAGCAAGCATTTCTGCTCTTTTAATACGATTAATTCTTGCACGAAGGGCATTAGAAGATGGCATGTAAGGTTGATACTCTTGCAACATACTAGAAGTAATATCTTGAATTATTTGGGAAGATTTGTCTCGTATTATACGAGCTTTCTGTTTGATTTGTCCAATAATTTCTGCAACTATAGCATTACTAGACTGAGGCGAATGATTATGTTCAACAATTTTTTTAAGATAATGGGACCTGTTATAAAAATTTGTTATCGCACGATCCTTACAATTTTCAAGCTTTTTTTTTCACAAAACCAATAATATGTATCCTTTAGTTTTTTTTCTTGTGCCATTAAGTAACCTCGAACATTTATTTTAATTTTTTCTTTTTGAGATGGAATAATTTCACATATTTCATTATTTTCATCCATTTATAATATATTTTTGAGAATAAAAGGATGTAAAATAAGTTTTCATCTTGATAATATTTATTAAAAATTACACTAATTACACGTGATATATAATTAACCAACTTTAATTATATTAATTTACTAATAAGGAAGTGTTTATTTTCTTTTGTATTGTTTTATGTAATAAAAAAATCAGCTTATACTATTTTAGTATTAAAATTTTATATAATAATATGCGATATCATATGCAAATGATTTTTTGAGATTTTGTATCACTTGAAATTTTGTACCATTCGGGATTTTGAATTTTGAGATATTTGATTTCGAGATTTTGAACTTTTCGGGATTCTGAGTTTCGAGATTTTGGATTTCAAGATTTCGTAGCATACACATTTTGCTTACATTGTATTGGGTAACTAAGGAATTGAACTTTCTTTAGCAATAAAGACCTGTAAAGCCAATTTCACAAGTACAATTTACCACAACCGCAACGCTTCTCCAAAATTCTTTTCTGGAGATATCTTCTATATCATGATATTTCTAGAAAAATATATATATAATTAATCTTAACTATTTAAAAAGTAATTTATACATATTATACATATATATTATAAATAAAGTATTTACTTGGTTGCAATTTTTTCGCTCGTCAATGAGCGCGCGTGTTGATTCATTTGTCCATTTAGCACGATTTATCTGAGTTGAGCGAGCAGAAGGAGTAAAAGAGGTTGAAGAGGTGGCATTTGATAAAAACATTTTGTTAAAATTAAAATTTTATTTAATTTAATAAAAAATAAAAGAAAAACCTTACTTATATATATAAATTATATAACACGTATGAATATTTGAACAATTGAATGATTTATTCGACTTTTATTTTGTAAAAAACTTTTACTTGAAATATTTAATATGTCAACATTTTTGTATGAAATTTATATTATTCATTTGAAATTTATTTTGCGACATGAATTTTTTAATATATCACGCGAAATTTCTGTTATGTCAGCATTTTTTATAATTAAATATTTTGCTAATTATTGAATTATTACAAAATTTTTAATTTGATTTTATTAAAATATTTAATGTTAGCATTTTTTGTTGAAATTTATTTTGCGATATGAATTTTCTAATTTAATATAAATACGTCATGTAAGATTTCTATTATGTCAGTATTTTTATAATTTAACTTTTTGTTAATTATTGAATTATTACAAAATTCTTAATCTAATTTATTATATTAATATGTCAGATTTGATTAAAACTCAAAAATTTCACTAATTTTAATTGTAATATGTCATTATACCATATTTTTTAAAATTAAATTGATTGGAAATGATCAAATTTTAATCAGAATAAGTTTGATACTGATTAGGTTTAAACAATAGAAAACAATAGAAAAATCATGTAAAAATCAAGTAATGTTAATGTAAAGCTGAGTTTTAATGGGAAATTTTCCTAAACTTGATTTTCGCTAATTCAATAAATCAAGTTTGAGAGTATCACAAAACCTAGAAAGATCAGGAATGTTTCTTGATCATCTATTATATTTTTTTTCTGAGAAAAATAATATTAGAATTTTTCTTAGCCTTGTTCTCTCAGCCCAAAATTTTGATCACATGTTCCTACTAAGCTATTCTTATAGTCTAAAATTTTGACTACATTAAGCTGTTCTTACTAAGCAGTTCTTATAGCCCAAAAATTTAGCTACAAGACCTTTCCTATTGTTCTTATTTTTTATAAATATGAATGATACAGAAATTGAAGTTGATCATGAGCATAAAGTTATCTTACCTCCTTCTCCTCCTTCTTCATCAAAGTTAAATATTTGGAAATTTTTTTCAAAAGAAAAATAAACAACAAAATTATCATTAAATGTAATACTTGTAGAAATGTAATTTACTCAGTTAATAGTGATGCAACTTCAAACCTTTGGGCTCATGTGAAAAAAATGCATAAGTCTCTAATTGGTATATCTACTAATTAGTATATAATTAAACAATGTTTGAATACAACTAATGGAATAAATAAATCATATATTAACATTTTATTTTTAAAGCAAATAAATATATTATCGCAGTTTTCAAAATGATGTGATCATCAATCATATGACATCATGGTACAAATTGCCTAATTTTGGCGAAATTTTTTTATTTCTTTCTAACTCTCATTAAACTTTATTAAAATTACAAACTATAAGTCTATAAAATGACTAAAGACTAAGTTTTATCGAATTATAGTTGACCCTTTTCCTTTG